GATATTCTGAAGTTTAGATTATTGGGTATCATATATATTTTTTTTTTTTTTTTCAAAAAAAAGAAGAAAAAAGTTCTTTCAGGATTCTTGGTTATCTTTGCTAGTGCTGATAAGTCACTCCTCAGCTTAAAATTATTCTTTTATTCGTTTTCCTGCAGGATAAAATTGAGTCTTCTTTATGTGATAGACAAGACTTGTTTAATCTCATTTCCCACCCCTCCCTACCCGCTCCCTCTGTACTAGAGGTTGAACTCAGGGAAGCTTTACCACTGAGTTAAATTCACAGTCCTTTTTATTTTGAAGCAGGGACTGTTTGAGTTGCTGAGGCTGGCCTTAAACTTGTGATCCTCCTGCCTTAGCCTCCTGAGTTGCTAGGGTTAGTGGCTATGCACCACAATGCCTGGCTCCTCCGTGTCCTAGCAAAACTGAACTGTGTACAGTTTTGGGACAATTTTATACTCCTTTATACCTCTTTTCTTTGTATATGCTATTTCCACTAATGTCCTCCCCTTTATAACTCATAGAATATCTCCTCTATAAGGCCTGCTTCCCCTGGGTTCCCACTGAACCTTTTATGCATCCTTATTAAAAATAATTATTTCATATTATGAATATGTTGGGTCCTACTCATTGGCAGGTGCTCCCTGAGAGGAGAGATGCCATCTTTTCATTTTTGGTATCGTCAGAACGTGGTTCATGTAGTAAAGTCTAACATGTAATAGATGTTGAGTATATTTTTGAGTGAAAGAATGAGTCTTCATGAAAAAACTATTTTTGTTGCTTTTGGCCCTTAGTTTGTATTATACAGGAAGTACATAGGTTCAGTCCTGGAAAAGGGGCTTCTGCTCACAATATAGAGACCTTATCTCTACACACTGGGAACAGGGAACAGGAATGAATGCTTCCCAAGTGTATACTTGTGCCAGACTCTATACCAGGGCCTTTGCATAAATTATTTAATTTATACCCAGGCCTGAAAGTTAGATTTCTAAATTGTAGCATGTTTAAATTTCCTTTTCTTGGCTATATAGGCAAGATATGCTCATTGTAGAAAATACAGGAGAAGAATATAGAAGGAAACAAAAGTCAACTATCCTTCTACAATCTGGCATAATCCACTGTTGACATTTTTGCTACAATAACTCTTCTCTTTTGACTTCAAACATAAACGTGTTTTTTTTTTTTATAAAATGGGATTGTATTATAAATACCATTTTGTTACCTGTCTTTTATTCTTCCCTAACATAATGTGGGTATTTGCCATGTTATTAAATAGTCATCTAAATTTAGTTTCTGATATTACATTATATGTATTTGTTATTAGTTACTTGATTATTTCCTTTATAGTTATATACTGATATTATTTACATTTTTATATTATAAATGTTGTTGAGATGCAAGGAAACTATGGGTATTGTGTGGAAAGATTTTGCATCTTGATATGAGTGCTGTTAAAACAAAAGGAAAAACATTATGGTGAACATCTTTGAACAATGGACACTTGACATTTATAAGCAGCCCCCACTGAAGCCAAATTTACAAATTTACAAAATATGAAGATGGGTTTTATGGTCCAGGCCCCTCTTTAAGAATATTTCAATGGTGAGTTCTGTGTTTCTGTGTATACTCTGATATGAGTTAACTGCTCTAATCTTTTTCCATGAAAGAAACCAATTTTTTAAATCTCTTCTGTTTCTTTCTATGGGCTGTCAGAGAACAAGGACGGTAGCTGAGAATCAGGTCTTTGGTGGGTGGCTGCTCTTGCTTACTCAGTGCATTGCTCACTTGCTTTCTGTCTTGCTCTCCCTCATGAGTGCACACACATACCCCAGGCTCACAGTGCTCCATTTAAGTTTATATTTCAACACAACTGAAAGTAACTAAATATTATGAACTTTTCATGGTGGCTTTTAAAATTAAGCCCACAGATTTTAAATCCACAGATGCCTAGAGGTGATGATAGAAATCTGTTCTTATCTCTGATGGATTTCATTAAGTCCAGTTAGGAATTATAGTGTGTAACACAAAGTTACTAACTGGAGAGGTTGTAACAAGGGAGGCAACTGTTCCATTTCAAGGATGGGAGTCTGGAATTTGTGATTTTGTAAGTGTGGATTTGAACTTTGAATTATCTAATTCCAGAGTCCAATTTCTTGAAAGTAGAAAAACTACTCATTCCTCACTTAAGAGACTGGATTTCACAAAAACACTGATTTGTAGAACAGCACTTCTTAAACTTTAGCATGCATAAGAATCATATGGAAGACTTGTTAAAACACAAGACAGGTAGACCCCAGCTATAGTGTTTCTGATTCAGTAGGTGATCAGAGCCCACCCTCGTCAGCTACAGATTTAAAACATTATCCTTCCTTGATTTCTTCTTCTCTAAGGTGTGATAGCTTCTAATATTGGGGGATGGATGAGCTAACATATTATTGTTGTGTACCAGTCACCCTTGTGGGGTTCATCAACTGGGAATTTTATTTTTAATATTTATTTTTTAGTTGTAGTTGAACACAATACCTTTATTTTATTTATTTATTTTTATGTGGTGCTAAGGATCAAACCAGGGTCTTGCATGTGCTAGGTGAGCAATCTAGCCACAACCCCAGTCCTCAACTGGGAATTTGTGCAAAAATGCAAATTATAGGGCTGGGACTGGAACTCAGCAATCTACATTTTTAAAAATCTTTATTTATTTTTTAGTCGTAGTTGTCAATACCTTTATTTTATTTATTTATTTTTATGTGGTGCTGAGGATTGAACCCAGGGCCTTGAACATGCTAGGCAAGTGTTCTACAGCTGAGCCACAACCCCAGCCCCAGCAATCTACATTTTATCAGATTATTAATTCTGAGACACCCTAACCTTTAAGAATCATTATTGTACACTGATGGATAAAACTAGTTGGCATCCATTAATTAATGTCTGGAGTTTTGACAAAAGCCTCACCTCTTTACAGCTTTTCTGTTTGTAAAAGAAATATTGGTTGATACTTTGCAAGGATTTGGCTGTGGTGTGCATTCTGAACTCTAGAGAAAGGGGCACTGATTTCAGTTCTTGGTTCAAATTGTGACTTGTTGGGGCTAGGGTTGTGGCTCAGTGGTAGAGCACTTGCCTAGCACGTATGAGGCACTGGGTTCGATCTTCAGCACCACATTAAAAATAAATAAGTAAAATAAAGGTATTGTGTCCATCTACAACTAAAAAATTTTTTAAAAAATTCTGACAAATTAGAATAAATTTTAAAAATTCACTAAGGATAAAAAAAAAACTCTGACTTGTTACTTTTTTTTGGTGGGGGGT